TTATATTTCCACGTCGCAATAAAAATAAAGCGATCGTTTTCTTCACTTCTCTATACTTTAATTTAACTTTCCAAATTCAATTTTGTGGAAAGTGACAATGGTCAGTTTATGAGAAGAGAATTGATTGAAAGTCTCGAGTTGTCATTGGTTGACCATCACCAATTTGAATAAGCGTCATCGACTTGACGCCTCCTCATCGTGTTATAAACCTTCATTAAGTTTCCAGTCTTTCAAATACTGGATTCAACTGATTTGACAAATCAAGTGATACTGAAAGCTAAAGCGTAAAACTTGGAAACAAGTAGCACACCTGTTGAAGAAAACACTATAGGAATCAGATAACGGTCGATGATAGTTAGAATTTGATCGACCGTGGACCTCCACCAAACATTCAGAAATCGATAGACACGCCGAGAGGGACTAAAGTGGTAATTATTGCCTAGAGTGCTTATGAGAAAACTTTGTGCCGACATTGTAATATTGGACAGCTGCTTGGAAAGCGATTGGTTGGTCCAGAAATTAAAAGAAAATTTGACAATCGGTACTTGGAGAAGAGAAATCACTGTTGACTGACGGCCGTGTAAGAATATTAGATACCACTGTGATATTGAGAGAACTTTTTATATTAAAGATTGCTTATAAGGCATTATATCATACTACCGTATGCGTGGGATATAACTCTATTTAGGCTTACATCGTTATAAAGAAAGGGGTTCTGCATGACACGCTTTGATTAGGTTATAATAACAACCATTGGAACGAGACGAGACTGAAAATTCAGAAAAAAAACGAAATTGGGTTCGACATGACACGTTCTACATGATTGGTCGAACGTAACATTAGTGGAACGAGATTGCGGTAGAAAACTTGTTAGATTGCAATGGACACAAAAATGTTCAGAAACAAATAATTAGAATCGGATTTGCATTAGATTAGATCTCACCACGATCAGATATTTATTCAGACGACTCTAAAGAGTCTCCAGATTTTCCCATGAAGGAGTCTGTCCTCAAAGCGTACGGCCAGGCTCAGGCTTAGCAGACAGCCTTTGACGTTGACGCACATCTCCGATATTAACTTGTAAATATTGTTCAGTATAACTCTATAATCAAGGCCTTGGTCACTTCACACTTGGGAGTGTCAGTTTGCAACTTTCCTATTTCACGTAAACGTTGACCTTTGGGAAAACTGTCAAAAATTCAGAATAACACTTTACACGTGTATATCCGGAAATACAGCCTGAAGGCAACCCAATTTTAACTATTAAATTTTGCTGCAACTTCCTGGAATAGATCTTCAGATGAGTCCTTAAAACTAATTTCATTTTTCCCAAAGCATGGTAGAAGAACTTGCCAATTCTTTGAACTTGTACATAAAGCAAAGAGGTTCCGGATTAGAAATCAAGTTCATCGGATTGTAAAAGAATATTGAATAATTTGAGTGTGTTAAGCGAGAGTCTCGAAGAATACCAATTAAGCCAAAACTGCCTATACTTTGATATGAGGTAATTACCTTTCCATCTTATAGACAGTTTTGTAATAAAGTCCAGTAGTTTCAAGATGTTTAAAATCGCTTTATGCTAAAGAGCCGACATGTTTTACTCCCCGCCTGTCAATGTAACAAACCTATCTGGTTGATTTATTAACTTACAAACGTTTCTCTAAAGATTATAGAACAAAGGTTAGATCATCATCTGGCAATAAGAAATTAAATCTGGCCTTATAGAAAATGTTCACTGACATCCGGTGTTTGAAGATCTGTTTTTCAGTGTCAAGCACATCTTTTTGTAGCCTTAAAGTTTAGTTTTAGTGCAGTTTTAAGAACCATTTTGCCAGCCTGAAAATTGAAATGGTGCTTATTGATGCTTTCATTGACGCCAGTACACATTAAAATGTAAGAAAAATTGGTGGTGGTAGATGCCAAGCAGATGCAGAAATCTCTTTACACCTACTTTAAATATCGAAACACAATTTTATGGTATACTACTCCTTAGTTTTATTACACACGACGTTAAGAAGTAGTATACCATAAAATTGTGTTTCGTTATTTAATGTGATCTCTACCCCTAAATGTCGCTAAAGGATTACTAAGTATCTACGTTAGATTTTGAGATCGTGGCTTACTGTTTGAGCGGGCCAAAGAAATAGACAAGCACTTCTTGATAACATTGTAGTTCAATTCTGTCAACTGAGACACGACGTGTTAATAAAAATAAAACCGAATTGAAATGGATTGGTTATAATAGAAATCAGCAATCTAGTTCTGCAGTGCGAAAGTGATATTACTTGGTCTGGCGATATTGCTCAAGACCTGAGAAAAAAATTGACGAGACAGTAGCAATTTTTAGACTGCATGAAAGAGAAAACGAGAATAATATGTCTTCCGTTGTCCGGAAGTTCACGCCCATGACATAGAATTTTCTGTTGGACTTGGCTTATAAAGAAACCAGAATATCTGCAGGGAACAGCGACGTTTGAAAATAATTTCCAATATCTTATGCATCCTCAAGTGGACTGTCCTTACAGACTTAATTTTATTTCCGTCAAGCATGACAAGTATCTAGTAAGGATATTAAGTAAGTGAATGATGTCTTAGAATATTGTTTACTCGACTCGGCATTACTGAATGCGATGGAATATGGTTTAACATTCAATTTTTTTTTCTTCTATGCCTTTTAAATCAGCGAGGAACAATTTTCCATGTGTTTAAATAACCCTTATTGAGCCATTATTTTATCTAATTTTAGATCAGAACAAGAAAAATACCCAACAGTTCCAGACCACTTATTCCAATTTCTCAATGAAGTATTTGTTCCATTCTAGGCATCTACTGGGAGAATCAAACTCTCTCTCCCCTGAAATCTAAACTAGGATAACATACGGTGACCTGTATGGGGGAGGGGACAAGAGGGGAGGGGGTTTTGAACCAACATAGATGCCACTATTTTGTTATTTCTTTAGCTTTTGGTATGCATTTTCAGACCAATGTTCTTGACGATAACAAGAATACTCGAACTGAGTGTTGGCTGCAGTAATAATCGTTTGTTAATTCGGATTAACGAATATTATTTTGAATAGAAACATAGATGCTATTACAATTTATTGCCAACTAACTGATTATTTACAATGCATCATTTACAACCAGGTTTTGAAAAAGTGTTAAGGTAAATTGACTTTACCAGCTAATAGAACTCAAAGGGATATAATTTTCTAAGTGTCTGTTTGACCAACTGAGTTTGAATTCGGGTGCATGTGTCACTTTCTAAAATGAAAATCTTACGTCCGGTACGTCAGCGAACGAAAACGTAAGTTTTAGAGGCGTAGATAATAAAGTTTGCAGGGAAAAATATTATTGCCATGGCTGTCTATGCTGTATGCATTTTTGATTCGTTTTTAATTGTGGATTAAAATGTTACATGAAATTTTGTTCTACGCGCGATGCGAATAGCTTCGGTTGATTTCTTAGAGCTGGAACAACAGATATTTAAAAGACGATATCCCTTCAATTACATTCAGTGCTGAAAACGAACTTTTTGGTTAAACTATTTTACATTACTTTTACTTTAGTATAAGAGTTTAAATATAACTGAAAGGGATACAGTCGTCAAAAATTGTACTTTACCAGCTACGGATTGGATTTTTTTTTATGAGCTCATACTTCTGGTGTAGCAAATATTATAATCATATCATAAAAATAAGCTTTAGTTTGATAATGAAATATTTCAAAGTTGTTGTGATAAGAAATGATATTACAAAAACATTTCCAAAGTTCTTGATATTACAATTCACTGGAATATGGCGATGAAGAAACTTAGGCAGGTTGATAGAATATCATAGTGTGAAATAGCCCCACAAATCTGGCAATACCCGTTCCTTGGGCGTAATATACGAATTGTCCCACACGGTACCACTATGCAATCGAGAGGTAACTCCCTGTTACTTAATGGATCGGAGCAAGTTGCAGAAAAGTATATTGTATGTCACGCTGTTCACGTACTGATATCCCACCCGTATATCACATCCCGGGAACGGACAGATTTGTCTTGCTAAGTATAATATTACTTGTAATGTCAATCTACGAGACAGCCAATGATTACACATATTATACTATTATATCAAAATTAATCTTGAATATAATAATTTTCAATTTAGAGCACATATTCAATATATGAACAGATAATAATGATAATAACAGGATCGCCGCCTAATTTCTACGATTTAAATATAAAATATATAAGACGAAAAGAACTATTTACATGTAAAATTTCACTATGAACACCAATATCTAAATGCACTAGATTATAATATATGGCTACTTTTTTCTTCTTTGACAAAATTCTATCTTTGTATCGTCCATCTTATTCCACTCTCAGTAATCCACAAAAAGACAAAAATTGTCTTGTATTCCAAAATCGTGTCGTACAAATATACACATTTCTCCGAAAACTTGAAAAATAAGATGTCTTTTTCATCAAATCAAGTAGTTCGAACACGATTTCTCCGCCGACATCGCTTCCATCGACATCTACGACCACATTTTTTCCGATGTTTGCGTTTTCGATTAGTCTTTTTACGTCCTCGATTTTTGTCCTTTCGCTTCCCCTTCTTCCTTCCTTTGCCTTTCTTTCTTTTCTTTTTCCGACGTCTATACCTCTTTCTCCGGTTACACTGCCCTATCACAAAACAAAGAAGATAACAATATCGTACATATAATCATGTAATATTCTAGGATGGGCCAATTATGCAAACCGCTAGTGCTATCCTACTGATGTTTTAAATAATAAAGTTCCTTTGAGCGTTTATAGCAAAACCCACTCATTGAAAGTAGCAAAAGCCTTTTACCAGATCCGGTTAGTCGAATATTTAACGTACAAATTATAATAAAATAAATATGTTTTTGTTCAGAGACTATGGGCAGTTTTTACGAGAAAACAGTTGAGGTTTTTTATGGAGGAGGAGGGCAGATATCAACTGAAGAATCCGAATCAGGCACGATTTGGTTTATATTCTGATATTTGGGCAAAATAAACCAAATCGTGCCAATAGAAATTTATAGCAGATACATGAAAACGTTAAATGGCTAAAATGTCTCCTACCACTACAGTGTCGTCGTGCCATCAAGCAACTTCTCGTATCAACCAAAGACGGACATCTGGCTCCATTAATAGACGGGTACTCGAGTACCAACCTTGTTTTCGTTTGGAAACCATATTTGTAGCCACAAGTTACGCCATTGCGAGCACAATGAGACCAACTACTCCAGGGCCCAACCATACAATCAACTGAAACATAGGCAAGGCATATCTCTGTATTATCTTAGTGGTTCAATCAAAAAAAGTAGCAGATTTTGCTGCGTTAGTAGTACGAGCTTACTCAAGCAATCTATTGCAAGAAAAGAATGCCACCAGAAAATGCATTTATTTCTGATAGTCTATTCTCAAGAAGTGTTCGGCGGAACATAGAATTTTGCAGAATCCATGGAACAAAAGTTTTTGGAGTTTCTTCCCCTTCCTCCAGAAAATGCCAAATATACTAAGGCCTGGCAGCGTATTTTCGAAGGAGCTAGGAATTCATAGAAACAGTTTAAAACACAGAAATAATGCAATGGAGTCTTTTTCAGGTTCCGAGAATCGATTTTAGCTTAGATCGTTTTTCGAAAATACGCAGCCTTAATTTAAAAATCAACTATAGATGGTTTGTTTAGTTGGTTCTTAACACATCTGCATTATCTCAAAATATCAAAAACAGTTTTGAGGCAAAAATCAAATTATAACTTACCTCTATCGCGACATTCTTTAGAATAATTAGCATAATGAGTGTTATTAGGACATTTCTCTATACATTGACCTTGGAATGCTAAATATGGCGTTTCACATCTAGTACAATAATGACGACTGAAACAGGCTTGACAATGTTGAATATGACATCCTGAAATAAATACAATATATTACATTATCTGATAGCTTCCTTCCTTGAGTAGGCTACCTGTCACCACTCTGCGACTGTGTTTTAGCTCAACTGTACTTCTTAGCTCTTGCAACCTTGTCAGTGAAATGTATAAGAAAAAGGGTTCATAAAGGATCCTTTCTACCAGCTGGTCCTAGGCCAAACCTCTTGGCGTTGATATTTCCCGTATTATCCATTTACAGATGTGTCGACTGGAATTTTAGTGAAGATGACTTATTCACATTCCGACCGAGATTAGAATCCACGACCACCATTTGTTCGAAGTAGCCCAATGACGTCATGGAGAGAGCCAACGGTCTAACCGACTATGCTACAGACCCTAATAAATTATAAATCAATGTCCGTGCATTATTCCTAATTCGCTTTCATTCTCAAAATTTACCAATTTAACTACACTGAAATCTTTAGAGATTAAAACAACAACATATTTAAAAGTCGAACCCGAATTTTTAATTTAGCCGCAACATCTAGACTAATAACTTAGCCAATTGTCAAAACAACACGTGGATATGACCATTGTTCTAGAAACCTGATATGAACGTCACCATCGATCCTGTTACAATAATCCCTAAAGATTTACAGCCAATTTTAGCGAAGAAATTTAGAGATTTTTAACGGAGACGAGAAGCTAAATTCAATATCGTTATTCCTCATCTTAATATACATTATCACCCAGATAGACTTAAATTTACATCATAATCTCTGTATGAAATCACAATTAACATAATTGTGGTGATATTTTCAGACATAAACGGTGATTTCTGATATCCTGCTGTTTTAAAATATTTGTTCATTTATTCGTTAATGCTGTCATTATAGGCATACAATTGACTGTTCCGGTAGATTGTTTATTTCATTTCTAGCGGTTTTAGTCAGATGATGGACATTTAGCAAGCGATTGGAATAGGTACACGATACTCCCGATTAGTCCTGTCTCAATGAACACTAGTATGTAAACATACCAATACTTACTGTTACATTTATTATAATACTGATATCTAACACCATAGTACCCAACAGGACAACTTGGTGTACAAATACCAATCTGACGTATATTCTGTCTATATAGGAACATAAAATACTGCGATTCACACGTCACACAACCGTTGACTGGAGAACAACTAGCACAACCACGAGGACAGGATATCACACCTGAAATGATAAAAAAGATAATGCCGATTAAATAAACCACTGACACCATTCAATGGAGAACAACTAGCACAACCACGAGGACAAGCACCTGAAATGATAAAATAGATAATGCCGATTAAATCAACCACACACAACCATTGACAGGAGAACAAACAGGCACAACCACAAGGCCAGGATATCACACCTACAAAGAAAAAAACAGATACAACCGATTGAAACAATCACCCACAACGATTGACTGAATAACAATTTATACAACTACGAGGAGGAGATATCACACCTGAAATTAAAGATGAACCAGATAAAACGGCTCGAAACATGTGATAATAGAAGAACCCATAACAGAATAATCTGACAGGATAACGTAACACAAAAGACACAAAATGTTAGCGCTTTATATTATATAGGTTTGTGTATATTTCTGTGCTTGGCTATGAATTTTCTTCTACTTGGGGTATTGGAAGGGCAGTGCTTTTGATGGATAGCGCATACTCTTTGCAGCCAACTAGCGGTCATCTCTAATGATCCAAGACAGCTGTTTGAATTAAAGACACTACGTTATGTCTGCTCTCTAGTTGTTATCTCACATGAGAATTAACAATTTAGCAAGAAGTGAGTTGGAGTATTATTCTTTCTTTTGCGCTAGTAAATTGTCTTTCCTAATCAAACTCTTAGCCTACCAATGTGCTTTACATTTTCCCGAGGTAGAGCCTTTTCAATAATTTAAAAAACACAAAATTCGATTTATCATTTTTATTGAGTGAAATCCAATGAGATTCTTATATTTTCTATATATTCCGCTTTCAGGAACTATGGGGTTATTTCCCTTGAAAGAGTAGTTTTTCCATTTTTTGTTTTACCATGAAACGTCTTTACGTGTAATAACAATACCGACTAGCCTATATATTATATTATTAATAATAACGATAACAAGTAAGACATTTAACTTGGTCTTGGATTCTAACCCCGACTCTGATAAAAATTTTCTAAAGTAACCCATAGTAGGCAATTTACGTATGAAATTGTCATTAAAGTGTGTCTATAAGATTATCCCGAGTATTTAACTTTGCCCTTTTCTCTGTAAAGACTAAATCAAATTAAAAAACAGGGTTGAAATTGTCAGATTCTTGATAGGCCTATATTAAATTGCTACTTGCATAATATAATGACTAACATTGAATTAGATTTAGAAAACGTTTTAAAAATTTAGTACGAGTTACTTCCCTTGAAATGTAAAATATGGACTCGCTCCACTAAAACATTTTATGCAAATGATTGTATAATGTAGTCCAGGCTATTTTTAGAAATCTTCTTTCTCTCTCCCTTTTGGGGTTTTTGCATGCCTATTTTTGGGTAAAATTTGGTCTAGATTTGGAATTTGATGTCTGAAATTGCATTATCTTTCAGATTTGGTGAGATTATGAGAGACCTAAAGGCGGAAGGCTAATTTTGAAAATAGTCGTTTTGTGAAGTGCCAAACTCTAGCGGATGAGTATAACCGGTAGTAGTCTACTTTCAATTTTAGTAGCTCAAAATTTTCATGGTCATCATAATATAATGAATTTTTTAGGAGAATTTTTTGAGAATTGGCCAGGCTTTCATTCGACATATTGGAAAGCTTTCAACGAGATTTCTGGAAAAAGGTTGAATTTCGTGTTTTAACATGGGAAGAGATGGCAAATGAATTAGTGGAATGAGTCCATATGTAAATATAAATGATATATATGTCCTACAGATTCGTGTCGATTTGTCTTGTGACAGCAAATAAATTTTGTCATTATTCGTGCATTAAAATTATGATCCCATATGGATCTGATGTCGGCAATATTCAAATTATTGTAACCATTGTATTTAATATCAATATAAAATCTGTTTCCATATACAGTATTACTGTAATGGCACTATTGGTCGTTGATTTGCAAAACAATGACATTAATGCATTTTTAACAGTCACTTCTAAGGCGGTCTCGTTTTATTGGCATATCATAGAAATAAGGCGATTTTTAGGACCCCGATATCAATCAAAACAGAAGAAATCGGTTGTGCAACGATCGATCCCCGGGCTGCCTCCACTACTTACTAGTGAGAAGGTATTGTAATAAGAAGAACGAGAGAAAAATAACTAAAATCATTCCATCTAACTTTGTAATAGTTGGTCATATCAATTGACACGCTTCGAAGAAGAATCGGAAGAATCCAACGTCTGCGATGTGGATTTTGTTCCCCATGGGACCGGACATCATTCTCAACTAGTAGTAGTAGTGGTGGTGCATGTAATAGTACAACAGCAGTTATATGTATTCCTATTTAAACGTTGACGATAGACAGGATTGTGAATATATCAGAATTCCGAGTAATGATACCTTTATAAGCTAGATGTCAGTTCATATCATTCTGACATGATAATTATAATGATTATTATTATAATAAATATATAACATTGATATTATATTTACTATGACAATATTGTGTTAAACTATTATCTTTCGTTATTATACACTATATAATTATAACGTGGTATAACCTTTATTATACTGTTATAACCTCGTAATTAAAGTATTGGACAATCCGTGGATCATATGAACTAGTAAGTTAACACCAATAATATACAAGAAACAAAAACCTACAGTCAAACTTGTATTAAGCAAGTACTCAGGGGAATGTTTTTTATCGACTTATAACTGTGGTTGCTAATGGAGGGTCAAGCTATACGGTAATATTTCAAGGCGTGACCGATGAGTTAAGGTACAATTGATTGAATGGTCATAAAATGGGAGGCTAATAGTTTCGTCAACAGGTTGCCGTTGAAAAGGGGTTAAATTAATTGAAAAATGCACAAGGGCAAATTTTCCTGGTCCTTTATTAGAATGGTCATGCTAAATACGCAGAATTTGACAAAAACTAAATTTTGTTTAAAAAAATTAATAAACATGATATCCGCTAAATATATCGTTTATTTGATGTCTACGGTAAAAGTTGTTAGACTTTAAAGACAACAGGATTTTTGTCTCATAGAAAAAAGACCCTAGTTACGCCCCTGATTCTGATAATAATGATTGGCAATTCCGACTTTTCCAGAGAAAGGCGTATCCACAAAACCAATCAATTTAATGTTGATCGTAATGGTGATGTAATTTTGTTCAGATTCTATCACTTATGTTTCGGCTACCCCAAAATTAAATTCAAAGGGCACTATATATTCTTTCTGCATACACTGTAACGTTAAAGGAGTGTCAATAATTGAATAGATTGGTCAATACAGATCATAAATAACTGTCAATTTCTAAACTTGTCTTGTGTACATAGCTTTAAATTTCACTCACTACCGCTTACAACAATGACAAATAGAAGAGATTTGAAATATAGCCTATATCAACAACAAATATGATATAGCGCACAGAGTCGTTTATATATTCATACCCTTCTTAACCTTGTCAATAATATTCCCTCATTTTGAAAATGAATTGGTGGTTCAAATGGCTGATAGTAGCCTACACAGGAATTGCTCACCCTTCCTTATAAACTTGGTGGCACTAGGCGCCTGGGTCTGCCAATAGTCAAATATTTACTATCGAGTTCAATATTCACAGAGACAATTTCAACTATCGAGTCCAATATTCACAAGAGACCAATATTTACTATCGAGTTCAATATTCACAGAGACCGTTATTTACTATCTAGTTCAATATTCACAAGAAACCAACATTTACTATCGAGTTCAATATTGACAGAGACCGTTATTTACTATCGAGTCCAATATTCACAAGAGACCGTTTATTTACTATCGAGTCCAATATTCACAAGAAACCAACATTTACTATCGAGTTCAATATTGACAGAGACCGTTATTTACTATCGAGTTCAATATTCACAAGAGACCGTAATTTACTATCGAGTCCAATATTCACAAGAGACCAATATTTTCTATGAGTTCAATATTCACAAGAGACCGTTTATTTACTATCGAGTCCAATATTCACAAGAGACCAATATTTACCATCGAGTTCAATATTCACAGAGACCGTTATTTACTATCGAGTTCAATATTCACAAGAGACCAATATTTACTATCGAGTTCTGTATTTACAAGAGACCAATATTTACTATCGCAATCAATATTCACAAGAGACCGTTTATTTACTATCGAGTCCAATATTCACAAGAGACCAATATTTACCATCGAGTTCAATATTCACAGAGACCGTTATTTACTATCGAGTTCAATATTCACAAGAGACCAATATTTACTATCGAGTTCTGTATTTACAAGAGACCAATATTTACTATCGAAATCAATATCCACAAGAGACCAATATTTTATATGGAACAAGAGACCAATATTTACTACCGAGTTCAATATTCACTATTGTTCTGTACATTCTGTCTAAATGTCAGCGTCAAGAGTAAAAGCTCGGTGTTCAAGGTCAATGTATCAGTATTTTTAACGAATATTTGACATAATAATTATTATGCTAGTTCGATTATTTGATACGTACAGTAGCCTACATGTATATAATACAGCAAAGTAGCGACACGTGGTTTGTAATATACTGATGAAATATTTATCAAATGTAAACAAAACATTTTGACGGCTCGTTACCACACATTTAGAAACTCGTTGAAAACAATTTAATAGACATTTGTATATAATAAGTAGACAAATTACATGGAAGTCGATGGTTCTCGAGTGTTAACGAAAGATCTGATTTAAAAAAGGAAATAATACATTCACCCTGTTTTGGTTCATCAAGATCCCATTTTAAACAAATTCAAACGGAATCCTAACTTTCAGATTCGTCAATTAGGTTTTAATAATAAGTGTTATGTTATACCTTGGATCAATCATGTGTGTTGTAATAACAGATGAATTCGTTCCTTATTTTTTATTTCGCTAGAAGGTGAACTTCATTTTAATCAGATGTCAGGCGAAAAGTGGAGCAGCCTGATTTTTTAGAAGTTTGGTTCACGAATTATTGAAAACGAAAGATCAAAACCATAACTTTTCTGAAAGTCTAAATTTAAAGAATCTTGCCGTTAATTTTCACACTT